ATTAGAAAAGTCAACAACTCAATATTTGAACTAGTTACGCACTTAAAATCTGAATATTTCTAAGTAAATTATATAGATATATATTTTCTTTTGAAAGAGAAAGGATGGAGCACCACGCAGATGCTCTAGCTTGCTAAATTACTCAAAAATGCTTGTTAAAGATATTGAGCATATTCCTAGCTCCAAAAATATGGTGTGCATGTTAAAAGTCTTTCATAACAAACAAAATCCAACTAAGTAGAAGATACTTATAACGTTAATTGATATTTCTAAAGCTTACAGGGTCTATCTAAAACATGTCAAACTTAAAAAAAAAGGGTTTTTGTGAAATTTACCAAAAAAATGATTAATTCTTCTATAAATACAAACGTATTCAAATTCAAAGTAAGTATACAAACCATAAAAGTGAATATAATTAGATCTCTGCTTAAGCATCTTTTGTAGTCTCTAATAATTTATGTATCTGTATATAAGAAGGTAGGGATCTCTATATACTTTTTCAAGTTTTTAGCGAATATAACAAAGGTACATAGCTACTGAAGGAGCAATTGTATAATTTCTTAATTTCAATATAATCTAAATACACTTTGTTACCTCATTTTCATACTACGTATACCCAATAAGAATTCACTAATTTCCTAGGCCACTGATGGATTAGTATTCGAATCCTAGGGGTATATATGATGTAAGTTAATATATATTGGAATTATTTTGGAGTCTTACTATTTCTATAAAATTATTGAGTTTTTTTTAATCTTCAAAATTTTGGATTTTGATTTTGGATAAGGTAGCATGAGGAATATAAACAAGAAATAAGTAATGATAAGTGCATTTAACACAGTACACTTCTTTAAAATAACCGCTTGTTAATATTTTGCAAAGTTAAAAACTAATTTTAAAATTATTTACTTCCATGCATGATCCCCTTTCAAAATAAGCAGTTGCCAAAAATAGTTACTACAAAACACGTTTTCTTGGCTATCCATCACCTCCCATAAATATGCAACAGTTTTTGGTAATATTGTTGTTAGTTAAGAGATAATTTTTGTTAATTATTATGATTAGCGAAAGCATGGGTCAACTAAATGGGACTGGGGTCAGTTAAATATCAAATCTTGGATTTTACTTCTTTATAAGACTCATAAATAGACTAGACTTCAATCTTTGCGCCAAAACCAAAAAAAAAAAAAAAAAACTCACANCGCCAAAAAAAAAAAAAAAAAAAAAAAACTCAAGCTCTCACAGAATCATTCCATCACAATAAACCCTAATTGGCCCGATCTCTTCGTAATTGCAGACCCTAATCGATCGATGGCTCGCGGGTTTAGCGGCGTCAAGGACGATCTCATCGACATCCGCCGCCATCTTCTCTGTGCTCTCTGCTTCTTTCCTCCGCTCGCCGACGATGGTTCCGATTCTCCTCCGGCGACGCCTCATCGTCAGAGTCGGAACCCTAACCCTAGCCCTAGGCTCTGGAGGAGGATAAGAGATGGTGATGGAGGGGTGAGGGAGGATCTTGTGAGATTCGTTAGGGACATGGATAAGTCCCCGGAGTCGTGGCTGCAGTTCCCGTTTCCTGTAGATGATCGTAAGTTGTTGCATTTTATTTTAGTTCATGAAACAAAAAAAATTGGATTTTGTTGTTGCATTTTTTAAAAGCTGTGATCTTTTTTTTGCACACATGACTGTGTAGATTATGACTGGTGACTGTTTTATGTTTGATGTTCCTGTTTGAGTATGAAATTGTAGCTCTCTAACCTTCACCACGACTTTGGAGCTTTGGTGCAATGGAAATGATCCTTCTTTTCTTGAAAATTGAAGGAAATGGTCTTTAACATAGTGTCAGAGCAATTTGAGATTCAATTCACGCTGATCACGCATTTAAGGGGATTGAAAAAAGATACTGCTGTGTGAGTGTACATGAAAAAGGTGCTCGAGCTGTGGGGACATGTTAGAGTATAAAATTATAAACCCTCGATGGTCACCACAACTTTACAGTTTTGGTACACCGGGAGAAACCTTTAACAATTCCATTTACCCCGAACAATATTGTTGTCGCATGGTTCATTGGCATTGGCACCCTTAGACAATATATTGGTGTTCTAATGAATGATACTGGTGATTTGCCATTTTTACAAACCGCTTTTATTTTGTGGATAATCATGAAATATGACACACTTTGTTAATACAGCACATGATTTTCCTCAGGAAGGACTCATGGTTGATTGTCTACATGTTCTTGATATGGTGGATGGCCTAAATGTTAGCTTTTTGTTAAAATAATGGCGAGTAATGTGGAAACAGAACAAGGTTTGTCATAAACTTGATTTCCCAGAACAGTGGTTAACTTCATTGAAAAGAATAGAATGTCACGGATGTGCATGTTTCATTTTCATCATCTCCTATTTATCCATAGGAACGATTGGCTCTTTCATATCTCTAATAAGTGACAGTAAGAATAAATTATCTTGAATTTTAAGGGTTAACTAAATGAATCATTTTTCTCCATTATGCAAAATTCAAAGTTTTCACCTTTATGAAATTAGTGGTCAATATGTTTTCATGAAGAGCAGTGATGAAAGGACATATGGTATTGGACTATGTTAAAATAAAAAAGTATGGCTTGCATCTGCCTAAATGAGAAAAATATATCATAGCCAAATGGAATACATACATTAAATAAAAAAAATGGACCTGAAAAAGGGTTGAGAAAAGAGATAAATATTTGGAGTTTCTATCAACTCTGTTACTGTGTCATCATTGAAGACAGATGAACTAGATTGGAGGTTCTTCTCTTGTGAATGCTTTCAGAAAATCTTGGAATTTAGCTGTGTCAGAAGGTTTGGGATCGTGCAAGTATTCTAACATTGTCCTACTATCAAATTTGGTTAGATGATCATTATATGCCTGTCCCACCATTTTTGAAATGTTTCCTTTAATTGGTATCAGAGCTATAGGCTCTAATTAGGTTTGGAAATAAAATCTGATCTTCTGTTTTTATAAGGTTTAATTAGATTAAATTAATATAATCTTGGTAGATATAATTACAGTCAAGGTATAGATCCCAAGCTATTGAAGATTTTAGAAGAAAACCCATTTATAAGGTTGAATAGAAAGTTTCTGCCCTGCCAACCTGATGGCCTTGCTCTTCACATGTAGGTAGGCTATGTTGGAAGTTCTTCAGTAAAACATGGCACGTGTTCTAAACATGTCCTCCATCTGGTTTTGGAAAGTATCTATATCTGACATGTCAGACATAATATTAGAACCTTTTTGAAATGTTTGTGCTTCCTTACGGGGATCCAAAATAGCTAGTAGTAGTCTCTTGCATTGTAATTTATTGTGTAATATGCTTATTAGTTGTTCCGGACTTTGTATCATAACACTAAACTGCTGTTATCTGTTGAAAAAACATTTTGAATTTAAAGGGTTTGTATTTTGTTCTCTTCTGGGCCAGCACACAGATTCTCACTGTGAGCTACCTCTATTTCATGTCTTAACACGTTACATATCAACTCTTAACATATAAGTTTAGTGATGCATGTTCAATATATGGAAATTGGTCATTACTACCAAATCCTATTGTACTGCTGATATACCCATGCAAATCCAAGTAAGAAATTGGTTAAGAATGAAACAGGAACAATGTACTTGCTTTATATTATATAATGACTTCATGAGAATGTAGTTCTGTATAGCGACATTTAGCCTTACTCTAAGACGTCACGTACTTATTTAAAGCAAGGCTTGATATCTCGATTTCAGTATCTAATTTTTGGTAAAAATTTTAGTATCAATATTGGAAGTTTTAACTTTTAAGTATCTGCTGGTTTTGAATTGGAAGTACCAGGATATCAAATTGGCAGCTTTTTGAGGGTTCTAGGTTATTCTCAGTTAATTCCAGGCTTTAGAAGGAATTTTTTATGCTTTTTACAAAAAAACTGATACTTAGTCCATTTTGCATGGAAAATATCCACTTATTTCTGATAGAATATGTCAAAATCTTATTCTTTAATGGGTGATACGATCATGAAATTTTTTACACCTTGCTTTTAAAAAAATACGAGATAAGGTTTATTTAAAAAAGGGGACAATGTGAGCTCCATAGCTACAATATCACCCATTTTCTTAAACCTTGCTTAAAAGTAGGTCATTGAGAACCAACCATTCATTAAAGTGGTGAAATTGAGGATGATATAATTCATTAATCAAAGTAGGATTATTAAAGTGGATGAATGCTTTTGGACTCTTTTATGATCATAAAACATTTATGATTTCGAAGAAAAATTCTATAGGACAACCATAAGCCTTATGATGCTTTATGGATCAAAATATTGGGCAAATAAGAAATGTTTGCTATAAATGAGTATAGCATAAATGAGAATGTTAGGATAGACTTGTGGATATGCACTAAGAGATAGGATAAGAAATATGTGCATTTGTAGAAAGTTAGA